TCTTTTTTCTTCTTTTTGAAAAGGGAGTTTCTCTGTGCAGTTCAAGCTGGCCTTGAGCTCACTTTGTAGAACAGGCTGGTCTCAAACTTACAATGATCCTCCTGCCTCAGCCTCCCACATGCTCAGATTACAGGCATACACCACCACACCTGGCTTAGGCTACTTCTTGTATTAGTATTTTATCATCTCTCTCTACTTACTCGTCTCATGAAAATAAAAAAGGTACTAAAGAGTTGTATACTACCACAAGGTTTTAAGACCCACTATGTTTCTATAACTCACAACAAATAGTTCATTGATAAACCACTTTAAAGAATGAAAAAACACATTTGCATGTGACCTTTCACAATGCCTATCAGACAACTAGCTATAAAAGATAACTTAAACCACAGACCATGGGCCCCAACCCAGAAGAAAATCATAAAAGGAGAACCATTCTCTCACTCACCAATCCCCACAGGGAGCCTTCAGAAGTGGCAACAATGGTAGCAGCCCTCGGAGTATTGTACATCAGAGCTAGTTCTCCAAAACTGCCACGGTTGTCATATTGACCAACAGAACGCATTTGGTTATCTTTTGTTACTAAAATGTCATAGGTTCCCCTGGAAGAATGACAAGAAACAATTACTTCTGATAATAAATTTAAGTGGCAAATGCATATAACATAAAACATCAGAGGATTTCCAAAAGAAATTTGGTAGTATATACAAATACAACAGATTTTTACATTTTTGACTTTGTAGTCTGTGACTTGTATTAGTATTTTATCATCTCTCTCTTCACTTACTTGTCTCATGAAAGTAAAAAAGGTAATAAAGAATTGTATACTACTTACTACAAGGTTTTAAGACCCACTACATTTCTATAACTCACAGCAAATGGTTCATTGATAAACCACTTTAAAGAATGAAAAAATTCCTTCTATCCCAGGCTATTGAGCATTTTTATTCTAAAAATGGCAGTGAATTGTGTCAATTGCCCTGCTGCATACTGAAATATGCATACTGTATCGGTTTTCTTTCATAATTTGTTTTTAAAAAGGATATAACAAAATAAAGTAAATGATATGTAATTATCTACCTATGATTATAATGACTGCTAAAGAAAAATACTCATAAACAACAAACATTTTGAAAAATAAGCACTCTCAATACAACACTGAGGTCAACATCAACTTTCTAAAGATATTTAATAGTCTATAGCAAATGCCTTAAAGAGACAAAAAAAATCTTTGACACAGTACTCCATTCCTATTTAAGCCAAAAGAATCAACAATTCTGAAAAAGACAATTGTAAAAATACTTGCTGGGTAATACTTATAATAAAAATCACAAATAATTCACTCTGCTAATGAGACATGAAATAAATTAAATATATATTTATAATTATTGTATAGCCATTAAAAATAATGACCTAAAAGCCAGGTGTGCCGGGTGTGGTAATGCAAGCCTCAAATACCAGCTCTCAGGAAGGCAAGAAAAGCCAGCAGTCCAGCTCAGCAAGTTCAAGGCTAGCCTGGACTACACAGTGAGAACCTGTCTCAAAAATAACCAACCAGCTGGGGAGATGGCTCAGTAGAATAAGCACTTGTCTGGCAAGCACAAGGGCCTGAGTTCAATCCCCAGTTCCGTCAAAAATAAAGCAAGCAAGCTAGCTAGCTAGCTAGCTCAAGTTTTGTTGGGGTCAGGGAGGCTCAGTGGAATAAGCGCTTCCCTGGCAAGCGCAAAGGCCTGAGTTCAATCCCCATTTTGGAAAAACAAAAACAAAAACAAAAAAACCAACCAGCTGGGTACAGTGGGGTACACTTGTAATCTGTTTGTAATTCCAGTACTCTGGACACTGAAGTGGGGGGCAGGGGTCACTGAAAGTTCAAGGGCAGCCTGGGCTGCATAGTGAGCTCAAGGTCAGCCTGAACTATAGCTTGACCCTGTCTCAAAAATCAAACCAGGGGCTGGGGAGATAGCTCAGTAGAATAAGTGCTTGTCTGGCAAGTACAAGGTCCTGAGTTCAGCCCCTGGTATGGGGGAGGGGGAGACCTGGCTTTTGGGGCCAGGGAGATAGCTCAGTAGAATAGCTCAGCTCAAAGGCCTGAGTTCAATCCCTAATAAATAAAATCAAACTAAACCAAACCCAAAAACCAACCCAAATCAGGCATGGTAGTGCTTGCCTGTAACAGCTTTCTGGAAAGCTGAGGTAAAAGGATAATTGGGAGTTCAAGGCCAACTTGGACTAAAGGGGCTGGGGAGATGGCTCAGTAGAATAAGTGCATGCCTGGCAAGTGCAAGGGCCTGAGTTCAATCCCTGGTACCACCAAAAGAAAAAAAAAAATCTCACAAACAAATGAACAAAAGTTCCAGCTACTTGTAAGGCTAAACCAGGACGATCACAAGTTTGAGAACAACCTGGGTAACTTAAGCAAGACATTGTCTCAAAAATGCTGAGATGTAATTCAGAATTCTGTGACTTCAATCTCTAATATTGCCAAAAATAAATATGTACCTACCTACATTCCTACAACAAAAATGTAACAAGTAATATTGTTTTCCATGTAAAACATGGAACAATTAGATCAAACAATATATGACCCAATGTAAAGTATCTGTATGTAAATACTGTTATTTGGTTTCAGAGAGCTGTAGAGTTCTATTACTCATCCTTTTTTCTTCTCCCTCACATCTGGGGTAGAATGCCTGAAAGCTCCTCTGTGGTGCTGATAGGTAATTCAAGTAACACAGCACCAGCACAGATGCCAGAGTACTCATTCTGCTCTCCCTTCTAGACAGCATAAAATCATAGGCAAGTTAATTTCTCTCTGCTGTTTCAGCTCTTTTGGACCTGTTTGCCAACCTTCCCTGCTCTCTATCAAAAGCCTTGTGATGTAAGTAATACACTCTCACATACTCCATTAGCATACACAGTGTCATCAGTCTTGACATCTGAGCCAAACTTTGGTGGAGAGTCTACCTCCAGAATAAACATGGATAGGTCCAACTCGCTCTCAATTATGATACTTGGGATGTTGCCAACAAAACTGGGATCATCTAAATTGAGTCCAATTTTTTTAGGCAAAAAATATATAAATACATATTTTTTTTCTAAAAAAAAAAAACGAGTAAACATGGAGGAAGCAATGGAGGAATACAGTCTAGTCATGAAATTATGGATAAATCATTATACTGTTTTTATTTATTTTTTGAAAAACTGCCTATAAGGAGATGTCACAAAGTTGCAAAGTATCATAATTAAAGAAAAAGCTGACAACAAAATCAATCACTCAACTCCCACTTATGTGGCAGCTGCTCTCAAAGGAGCTCACCACTCAACAGGGAAGGTGACCACTTCTAAGCCTGTAGACATGGCAGAAGGTAGGTACTGTCCCCTCTAGATGCTAGAGACCTGACTTTGGGAAAGGTGCACACCATTTCTGACAGCAGCACTGCAGAAGCACCTCTCCTCATACTCTTCTAAACAACAGGACATGTTCTTATCATTACCTATTTAAGTGTCTGTCTCCCTAACTAGCCAAAGAGTTTTTGAGTTGAAACTGTATTTTTTTTTTTACATAAACCCAACAGCATTTCACTTTCACCACATACAAAGGATAAGCCCTCATCTAAACGTGTTAACAAACTAATCCCTTCATAGACCGGCATTTCAATCTCTGTGTTGTGGACAGGGGCAAGTGCCAAGTACCTGTTGGGACATCTGTTTTGATGGCGACATACATAGAAGGCATGTGGTGGCTTCTAGGGTGGTAATGTAACATTAGTTTCAGCACTTACAGAATTTCTATGTACAAATGATTAGCATAACAGATAACCCAAGTATTTAATTTCTTCAGTATGGTTTATGCCTGGAACAGAGCCAGATGAGGCTAGGAGTATAAAGATCAGGGTAGTGTATTTATGTGTAAAGTTAGGCTAGAATGTAAAAGATCCAAATTGCAATCTAGCGTGACTGTTCTTTAAGAAATCAATTCACAGGGCTGGGGAGATGGCTCAGTAGAATAAGCGCTTCCCTGGCATGCGCAAGGGCCTGAGTTCAACCCCCAGTTCTGCCAAAAAAAAAAAAAAAAAAAAAAAAATCAATTCACTTGAACACTGGCCTATAATATGTTTACAAAGCATGTGCTATACTTACCTTTTAACTGAACAAGAAATTTTCTACTGTAAATGATGGGTATAATTATGGATTGTAATGAGGACTCAGAACAACAATACATAGAGAAGGGCAGGCTTGTGGTCCCACTTCAAGCTTTTAGAAAGCTTGGTTACCTGACATATACCTCTCTGGACTAATTAAAGGATTGGATAAAGCATCTGTCTCATAGCATGAATCTATTAAGAAAGGCAACACAACTACAAAGCTTTATCTCCTACCGTTCTATGACATAAAAGTTGTCTCCGTCATCTCCTTGGTCAATGACATGCTCATCTACTTTGACTGTTCTTTCAAACATGGCATCAAGAACTTCAGAAAGCTGTTCCTATAGGGTATACACACAGAAAAAAAGATGACTTTTACACTTGCTGAAAACAAGTAACAGTCATGTTTATTTCAGTTTGTGACTACACAATAGAAATCCACATACTAGACTGTTCCCCATTTTTAAGCAGAAACCTAAGGGCTATCTGAAACAAATGCTGTCCTGAGGCCAGTCAGCTTTGTATCTTCATGTACCTCAGTAGACAAGACAAGTGTCAAGTTTCTGATAGTAGCATTTCAAAAGTTTTCCATGTCTGGCAAGGACGAGGTCCTGAATTCAATTCCCAGCAGAACCCTGCCCCTCAAAAAAAAAAAAAAAAAAAAGGGCCGGCCAGATAGCTCAACAGATCAAAGTGCCAGCTTAGGCTGATGCAGGGGCTGGGGGTTCAATCCCCAGCCTACGGTGCTGGCCTTGCCCCCAGGGGTGTGCTGAGACTGAGATTGAGACTGGGCGTGGTGGCACACACCTGTAATCCCGGCGCTTCAGAGGCTGAAAAACAGGAGGATCACTACGAGTCCAATCTGTGTAGAGAAACCCTGTAGACCCTGTACTAAATACATTAAAAAAAGAAGTTTTCCTCAATTTATGCAAAAACAGAATACCTAAATCATAATGTCAATTTTCCCAGTTGTGCCCACTGGACTGTTACCTACTTTGATGGCTCCAGTATCTCATTTGTAAAGTCATATGCTGTCACCTTTCCTTACGTGTTGACATTTACAGAACTGTCAAACACAAAAGCCCAGAAAGGCTTCAAGGATTATCTTGTGGGATAATGCAACTGGATTTGACTAACTCAACACATCACTAACCACTCCAAGTTTCAGTTTCTTCATTTGTAAAAAAAGGTATAATAAAATTTCTAGCTCACAAATTTTGATAATTAAAAGAGAAAAATCTAAGGAAAGAAAAATCTAAGGTGCAAGGACCTGGGTCTGATTTTTAGTACTACATGCTGTGCTGGCCCGGGAACCCCAGACATGCTCTGCCGGTCCCAAAACTGGGGGTGATGGCACACACACATAATCCCAGCACTGGGGAGGCTGAGACAGGAGGATCACTATGAGTCTGAGCTGTATAGTGAGACCCTGTACCAAATAAATAAAAGACTTTTTAAAAAATTTTAGGGGTTCCAGCAGCTCTGGCGGTGGGAAGAATGGCAGCGGTTAAGCCTCCACGAGGCTCCTGTGCACCTCAACCCGCAGATTCTGCACATGCCCCATGCGCCGCCAAGATGCCCAAGAGGAAGGTCAGCTCTGCCGAAGAGGGACAAAAGAGGAGCCCAAGAGGAGATCAGCGAGCTTGTCAGCTAAACCTATTCCAGCTAAAGTGGAAATGAAGCCAAAAAAAAACAAAAACAAAAACAAAACAAAAAAAAAAAAACGGGAAAGGATAAATCTTCAGACAAAAAATTGCAAGCAAAAGGGAAAAGGGGAGTCAAGAGAAAAAAGTCTGAAGTGGCTAATCAAGAAACCAAGGAAGATTTACCTGTGGAAAATGGAGAAACTAAAAATGAGGAGAGTGCAGCTTCTGATGAAGCAGAAGAGAAAGAAGCCAAGTCTGATTAATCACACACCATGTCTTATCAATGCTCCCTGTCTCCCTTCTTGTACAATCCAGACGAATATTTTTATCAATGATGTAAGCTGGCTTAATCAACTCCATTTAGTAACACGCTTTATAACTTCTGTTTCATAAAACCTTGATTTCTTTTGTAAACTCCCAACCGTGCCTAACCACAAAATGTGACTGTGTGTACAAATAAGAAAGTGTTTCTCAGCATTCCAAGAAAAGATAAGAAATGTTCCTCAACATTCTGCAAAATGAGTTAGACTGTCCTTCAGATTACAGGAACAAACAGAACACCTGGAAATGGGTGAAACTGTCATGAGATGTCCTTCTGACTACCAGAACAAAAACAACACGTAAACCAAATAAGGACATATTCCTAGGATTTACAAAATATGACCTTGTCTACGAGAACAAAGAGTTAACCCTCGGTCATGACTCTGTAAAACTCCCCACTCTTCCCCCTACTTTTGTGGTTTTCTGCTTTAAAAACTATGTGTCACTCTAGCTAGGTGCACATTCTTTTCAGTTTTCTGAGGAGAGTGTAGCAGCTCAGCTCAGCTAATAAAGCATTCCAAAAATGTCCCTTTGGTTGCAGTGTCTACTGGTTTTTCAACGTGCCACCATCAACTATTTTGTAAATGCAAGATTTTTAGTAGCTCTAGAAACATTTTTTTTAAATTTTATTTATTTGTGTGTGTGTGTGTGTGTGTGTGTGTGTGTGTGTGTGTGGCCAGCTCAGCCCACCAGAGGGCAGGGGTGGCTGGCATGTGGT